TTGAGTTTTTCTCTCCTTATGCCAAGTATTTAAAACCTCTAGAAACCAATGATTTGACAATCAATGATTGCGCGATACTTTCAATTTGAATATTCAAAGGCTCCACAAAATGGGCTATCTTTTCGTGAAACTAGGCACATCCCCGTCTAGCAGAGGGTCTGGGGGAATAAGATTTGGAGGGACCACCCTCCCCACCCTTGGCTTTTGGGATATTTCCAGGGTTTTAGCCATCCTCCCCTGAAGTGAGCAGATGCCTCCAAACCTGCTCAGTGTTTTGCCCTCAGATGCACAGGCTGAGCTCCAGCCCTCTCAGATTTCAGCTGCTACCTGCAGACAGCACTCTGCAAGGGACTCAGCTGCTTTTTGCACGTTTTTGTGTGTTTTAAGGCAAAATCCTAAGGGTTTGGGGCCCAAATGGCAGCATGAGTGTGTGGTGGAGGAAAGAGGCTGCCCTAGGCACCCAGGGAGGAGAAGCTACCTGAACCCCACTTCTTCCCACAGCATTCCTTCCCCCTGCCCAGATATTGGGTTCAGATTGGAGTTTATTTGTGGATTTTCCCTAATTCAGGCTATCTGCTTTGGCTGCACAAATTGGCAGCCAAATTCTTCCATGCTTCAGTGCTGTGCTGGGAGCTGCAGGTGGTGGGGCTCAGGGTGTGCAGGGTGACAGACTTGTGGGATAACCATCACACTTCTAACCTAGTTGGGGGGTTTAGGTTGCATTTAAGCTTCTCCCTGGGGACCACAGTCTGTGCCCTGTACAGGGACTCACTGGCTGAGGCAGAGAGCAGGCCAGGCTGTTAATCATCTACCAGCACTTCAGCTTGGCTATTGTTGCAGCCAAATCTTTTCTTTTCTCTTAAGTTGAACAAATACACTTGATTTCTGTGAGGAGTGGTCGCAGCAACGAGGCCATTCCTTGTGCTGAAATGTATCTCAGCAGCTCCTGGTAGGCCAAAACTTGCTCTGCAGGGACACATCCCACCAGCCCCCCTGGAAAGGAGCTCTCTCCCCACTTGTCCTGCAGCACAAAGGGGTGTGAGGTGCTGGGGGGGCACAGAGGGAGGTCACAGGGGAGTATATTGCCCTTGCTAAGCAGTTTGGGACCTGAAGCCCTCCAGTTTCTGGGGCTGGTTCAAAACTGAGCTGCTGGTGGGTGGGTAGAGCCTGGGGAGGCTGTGGGTGCTGTGCAGGGAACCATCTCTCCTGAGCTCTGGGGTAATGTTTACCTCTGTAACCAGAGCCCACGGAACAGAGCACTCAGGCTGCTCAGCTCCACTCCTGCCTGAGCTGTGTGCCTTAAGGGAACATGAGGAACATGTGTTCCGGGTGTTGCTGCATGTCCTGGGTTTAGAAACATTTCCAGGCTCACAGAGCTGTGGTTAATAACTGAGTGCCAGAGTGGCTCAAACACTTCCAAGACAGCTCAAAAACTTCTTGTCCCTGCTCCTCTCTTGGTCTGGCAATACAGCCAGACTGACCTGCTGTCCCTGTCCATGCAAACCCCTAGAAGAGGGAGCAGCTAAGTGATGGTGACTATGATTCTGGCAGTGGTGTCAGTTGTGATGTGAAACAAGACTGTGGGCTCGTGCAGGACTCAGGTTAGGGGGCACACTGCTGGCTGAGGGTCAAGGAGACATACACACACCCTGAAATGCCCTAGGGCTCCTTGCCTTGTCCTGGCAAACAGCAGGTGCCACTCTGGGATGTTCCACACCTGCAGCTTGTGAGAGCCTGTGATGACCACAGGTGAACTGGGTTCACCTAACCCTTTATTTAGCAGGTGTGTGGAGCAGTACTGGCTGCTGCTTCTTTCCTAGGCTGAGCTCTCCCTGTCTCTCCAGGGCCTGCCCCATCAGAATTGGAGGAGCAAAGGCAAGGAGGGATTTAAAACATCTCAGCACTACACATTCCCAAGGCCTGGAATGTTCCTGTTTGTCCTCAGAGAGGTTTTTTTGTTGCTGTTTCTGTGGGTGCCAGGCTGGAGGATGAGATGAGGCAAATGGGGTGGTCTCCTCCAGGGCCAAACCAGTTGGGATCTGCGGCATCTGGGAGAGTTCCCCAGGGCTCCTCGGTGTGTTTGTGTGTGCAGAGCTACCTCTAGTGGCCACGGGACCTGGACTGGCCCTGGGACTGGAAATCCATCCTGTTCCCAGTGACAGCCCACCTGGATGGCTCTTGGCAAGGGGTTGGGAGCAGCTCATGCCAGGCACATCAGGAGTGTATGGATGTGGTGTAGGCAAGAGGGAAACAGCTCTGTGCTTTCTTCGGGGCAAAAGGGATGTCGGGGAGGATGTGTTGTGTGTGTTGCAGGTGGGAGGGATGGAGAGTTTGCCTGGATCAGCAGGCAGAGCAGTGCCAACACTCTACAGAATCATTAAATCCTTAAGGCTGGAAAAGCCCTCTGAGAAGTACCTGAGGTCCTAGGAAAGGCCTATGGAGTGCAGACACTTTTCAGGCTGTGTATTTTACCAGTAGCACAGTGAGCAATAACTTTCAGAAGGCACTAGAAGGCAGCACTCTGAGCTAAATGTGGTGCATCCAAGTGATTGTATTTCTACACAGAACACAAAGCATCACACGCTGCAGCATCCTCTGCTTGAGGAATTAGGAAAGAGCACACAAGCAATTAATTTGCTTCAATAACAGTCCGTTTTCCTTTTCCTCCAGCTCTTCTCTTGCATCAGTAAGTTCTCCTGCCTTCATAAGTCCCCCAGAGGGCACTTCCATCCTCTTTGGCCCAGGCAGAGCTGTCGTGGAGGTGTGTTGTCTCCTGCTCCACGTGGCTCATCCTGGAGGGAAGCTCGTTTGGCACAGCCACGAGAGGGGAGAAGGTGTAGGGAGAGGTGGCAGCGTAGCTGGGGGAGTAGTGCACATCTTCATGAGGATGCAGAGGGTAGGGCTGAGCTCCAGGGATGCTCGGGGTCCATCCAGAGCCGCGGTATGGGGACACACCGCCCTGCTCGGGGGAGGAGAAGCAGCTGGAGCTGCCAGGCAGTGCCTGCAGAGGGTCAGAGCAGGCACCATCCGATTGGCTCAGGCTGTCGGGGGAGCTCTGCTCCCAGGGCTCTCTCTGCGTGGAAACAGGGAGAGAAGGCAAGAAAAACTCTTAAGAATAAAAGTTTGTCCTGGAGGTAATGGTGTGTCTATCCCTGAGCCCAGCTGGGAACTCTCCCAAGGGTTTGCTGAGGCTCTGGAGTTGTATTTGGTGTTCAGACTGGTGAAATGAGAATATCCATCCTGTCCATAATGGACAAGGGCTGGAATAGGATCCCAGTGGGGCTACCAACCCTGGCCCAGGTCACAGGAGCTCTGCCCTGGGGGTGTGAATGGAGGTGAGTGCTGGGAAGTCTCAGGGATGAAGATAGGGAACTGACAGGGAACTGGAGCTGCCCAAAGGTGTCTCTAGAAACTTTAGGAGCTTAATGGAGTGGTTGTTTTGGGCAGCAAGGAAGGTTGTTGATTTAGGAGCTGATCTCCAGTGGGAAGAGAGATGAATTAGATGGGATCAAGGAGAAAAAACCATTCCCTCCCAGCCCTGCCCCATGTGCTGTGCTCGGGCTGCCCCTGTGACAGACTCATCCTTCCCCCACGAGCCCCCCTGGCTTCACCCCGGGTTTGAACCAGGTCATCCCTCACTGGTGGCAGAAACATAGACTCACTCACTAGTAGGAAGTGTGCTGTGTCACTGGGGAAGGATGGCAGCAGAGGGGGCACAGAAGAAGGGCTGAAGAAGGAGCTGGTACCAGCTGTGAGAGGAGGAGCACGATAATCCCCGTACTGCTCGGTGAGATATGGCTCCAGAACTGTTGGGTAGCCCTGAGAGGCAGAGGAATCACAGGAGAAGGGCTTGGAGCCCAGAGAGGATGAGTAGACATCACTGACAAACTGCTTTGTGTTGTGGAAATCCAGGTCAGCTGTGAAGGATCTCCTGACACCGTAGTACCCAGCAGAGGGGGGTGAGCCTGTGGGGTCAGAGAGAAGGTTGGCTCAGGGGAAACTCTAAGTGTTTGGAGCTCCAGAGCTATGAGAACCACTGCAGGCACAAAGGAGAGCCCTCGATTCTCCAGCATCACCCAGGAAAACAATCAATCCTGCCCTGAAACACGTGTGTGAGCCCAAGTGCTTGTAGCATCCTGAATCAGCTGCAGCACACCAAGGGTGTTCTGGGAAGCTTTAACTAGAGGCCAGGGAGACTGAGGTTGGTTTTGCCAGCCTTTGCTCCTTCCTTGTTGTGCTGCAGCTCCTGGGGAGGAGGACAGACTTCCAGCCTCACTCCCCTTTCCCTGCCCTAGAGCTCCAGGGACAAAACAGGTCAGCTCCTGCTTTTGGGCTTTCTCTCTTCAGCTCCAGGGGAAAACTTGAAGGCACTGAAGGAGAAGAAGGGATCTTGTGTGGCTCTTCTGTCATAACAGGTGGGAACTGCTTTAGTTACCTCTTTTGGGGAATTTTATACAAGATTACAGGGCCTTTCCTGTTTTGATTCTTTGAATCCCTTTCCTCCTGGGCTCTCTGAGAGGGGTGGTCCTACTCCAGTTTGCTTACTTCATGTCCTTTGGAAGAGAACACACAGGGCAGTGTCAACTCTCCAACCTGCACAGAAGGTATTTATCAGTGGAGGAAAAGCTCACCTGGCATTGGGACAAAAGGTGACTGTGCTGTGCTGGTGCTTCCCTGCAAGACAGAAAGATAAATTCATGAATTAGCTTTTCAAAGCAAGGTGGCTCTTTGGGCTTGTGGTTTGGGAAGGTGATGGCATAATTCAGGTGTGTTATTTGAGCTTTGGTGCTGTGAAGAGCTTAGCTACATGACTTCAAGTCTTGGGGTCCCTGAAGTATTAGCAGATGTAGGCTAAGAAGAGATTTTGAAGGTCTTGTGTTGAGCTGATAACAGAAGTATCAAGATAACTGGCTTCTTCCTCCCTTGCTGCAGAGTCCTGCAGTGCAGGCAGAATGCTGAGCAGTTGGTTTGGTGTTGGCACAAAACAGGTCTCAATAAACAGCTGTCCAAGCCCTTAACTGGTCAAACTGGGCAGAATCTGCACTGCCTGTGTTCTAGCTCAGCCGTGTCTCCCTGCCCCAGAGCCACTTGGTCCCTCCTTGCAGCACAAGCTGTGTGTAAAGGCAGTTGTTTCTGGTCACTGTTTGTGTCCTACAGCAATGCTGATGGCAATAATAATAATCTCCTCTTGGTCCCTAGGAAGGGAGAATTAACCCTGAGTGACTCTGGTGCTCACTGTGGCTAATTCCTCACAGGGCACTGTGGCAAAGGCATGTGCTGCTCTGGAGTTTCATTGAGTTTTGTTTCTGGACCTCCAAACCCACAGAGCAGAAACCCAGAGCCCATTGCTGCCTTTATCTGAGCTGTGCTGTGCCCTGGCCAGTGCTGCTGCCTGACTATTTCCAGTTTGCATAGTGCAAACAGAAGGTTCCTGCCCCAGCAAGCAACCAAATTTAGAGGTTTAGATTTGAATTAAATTTGCCAGTGCTAGGACTTCCTTCTAGTGCTGAGGGAGCCTTGCAGCTGCTCCCTCAGGAAAATGAGCTCACAGGTCGCCCAGGCTGCAGAGGGGACAGGAGGTGTCAGGAAGGAGCCTCTTGGCTTGTGGACAGAGATTGTTCATGCCACAGGCTCAGGGTTTGCACCTCTCTCCTTCTGGGCTGTTTTTGGCCCTCAGTGAGGATCCAACTGGTGATGTACACCCTGCAAAGCTAAAACCTCCACAAGCAAATCCAGCCTCAGCAGACACAACCCTCGGATCCATGTCCCTTGGAGAGGAAAAGGTGGAGTTTGGAGGTGTGAGTAGCACAGACACTGCCTAAAGCAGCCAGAAGAGACAGGGCAGAGTCAGATTGGATGTGAGGAGAAATGTTTTCCCTGTGAGGGTGTTCAGCACTGGGATATTGCCCAGGGAGGTGGTGGAGTCACCATCCCTGGAGGTGTTTGAGAGGTGTCTGGATCTGGCACTGGAGGAGATGGTTTGGGGGTTCCAGCAGTGACAGCTTAATGGTTGGATTTGATGTTAAAGGTCTCTTCCAGCCTTGATGATTCTGATTCTAAAGGGCTAAGGGCTGCAGTGATAAGAACTGGGATGCTTTGCTGAGGGACAGGAAGGTCCTTGCCTAATGCTCTAATATGGAGCATTATCAATGCATCTTAGTTTATCTTTGATCCTGTGGATTCAACAGCCACTGAAACAGTGTCACAGGCAGCAGATCCTTCTGCACACACCTGTGATGGATATCACAGAGCTGCAAGGGCTTTACCTGCCTTGATTCATCTGCAAGAGCCTCTGCTGCAGCCTCTCTTTGGGTTACATCCTAGCAGGCACCTACAGAGACCTGCAGCTCATTCCTCTCCTTGTCAGGCAGGGAATGTCTTGGCTTAATCGCAACCCATTAGTTCATTTCCTCCCTGCATTGCTTCCCTTCCCTGCTGTGGGACTGGGGAGGTTGGACCTCCTGCAGCACATCAGGGTTGTGTTCAGCATCCCTGGAGCCCACAGCATGTTCTGCTGTTGATAAGCTGTTCTCAGCCTGCCTTGCACATATTCCCAGGCACAGATCCTGCCTGGAGCTATCCTGATTGCTGCCTTGCTTCATTGCTTTGTAACACAGATCAGGGCTGCCTTGGGGGACTGAATATGAGGATCCAGGTCAAAATATTGCCCTGGCCCTGCCCTGGGGACATGCAGTGCCCTTTGGCTGTACTTTGGCCTCAGAGCATCACCTCTCTGGGCCCAATCTGTAGGAGAGCAGCTGAAGCAATAAATATTAATAATGAAAGCAAAGCTTAGTCTGGACACCACACTGGTTTGGTGACTGGTCTGTCCTGGCCTCTGAGTGCTGCAGGGCACTCAAACACTCTCAAAACCAGAGGATTACAGAGATTTACCTGTGTACCTAGCAGTTTCCCCACCTGGGGAAAGAGGGGAATCCTGTTATCATGCAGAGGGTTCTTAGCCATGCAAGGACTAGGTATGAATTCAGACCCTTCCTAAAGCCCAGGCCCAAACCCTTCTGCCCTGCAGTTGGTGGGAACTCAGAATCCCAGGTCTGGTGTGGTTTTCCTCACAGTACACCTCACTTTCCTCTCACTGGATGTGTGCAGGGCCTGGTTGTGCTGCCTCAGTCACCAGCAGCTCATCTCTGATGAGCACTGACCTTCCCTTCTCAGTCCAAAGCCTTTCCCTTGCACAACAAAGCCTGAGTGATTTTTTTTTTTTTTTTTGAGCAAAGATCATGTTGAAACTAAATTACGTAGCATCATAAATCCACAAAGGGATGTTCAGTTATGTGCCATTTGCTTTGATTCTGGGCTCTGCTCTGTCAGGCAAACAGAGCTGCACTTCCAGCTGGTCTTTTCATGAGACCTTCGAGCAAATAAGGATGTTTGCCCTGCACAGTCATTTTTTGGACTCTCCTGGGGAATTAGCACCAAGGCTGGTTTTGCATTAGATAGACACACAACTGCTAAGCTTTGGAATACAACCCAAAGGGTAATAAAGCAAGCAGCAAGTCTTTTACAGTTCCTAAGGCTATAAAGTATGATATCATCAGCCAGGAGCTGTTTTCTAGGAGGGTAAACACAGCAGGTGCTTCCTGCTGCTTCCTAAATATCTGCCTGGGGGAGCATGTCTTGCCCAGTGATTCTCCATGGCTCAGGGGGAATTCTGCCCTTCTGCAGGAGCTGAAGGCTGTGAGGATCTCTGCAGCTGGTTCTTGCTGTGTTGGGTAATGCCCAGTGCTGGTTTGGTTCCACAGAGTTAATGTGCATGAAAGTCACAGCAAGAAAAAGACTTGTAAGGATTTTATATTTTAGGCTTGTAAGTCCCTTTGAGGTTTCTTTGTTTGGCAGAAGGCAAAAAGCCTGAGGCAAAAGGTTTGTTGGGGAAAAGAGCACTAAAATTCCTAATATCATAGAATCAGAGAATTTTAGGGGGTTGGAATGGGGCTGAGAGCTCATCCAGCCCCAAACCCCTGCCCTGGGCAGGGACACTGCCAGGGTTGGAGCAGCCACAGCCTCCCTGGGCAACCTGTGCCAGTGTCTCACCACCCTCACAGGCTAAAAACCAATCTAAATTCCCTCTCTCAATTTCTCCCTATTCCTCCTTGTCCTGTCCCTGCAGCTCCTAACACAGATTCCTCTGCAGCTTCCCTGGAGCCCCTTCAGCTCCTGGCAGGTTCCTCTGAGGTCTCCACACAACCTTCTCTTCTCCAGGCTAAATAGCCCTAACTCTCTCATAGGGAAGATTCTCCAGTCCTCTTATCAGCCTCGTGGCCTCCTCTGGCCTTGTTCCAACAGTTCCATGACCTTCTGATGTTGGGCACACCAGAACTGTGTGCAGTGCTCCAACAGGCAGCACTGCTCTCCTCCAGGAGGAGCAGCCCAGAAACCTTCTCTTCCCAGAGAACCATAGGATATAATCATCAACTCCTTCCTAATATCTAACCTAACTTTCCCCTCCTTCAATTTGAAATATAGTAATGAAATATAATATGTTTCTGCTGTCAGTTATCCACATTTCTGCTCCCACTCTTTC